AATTATAACTTGATTTATGAAAAAAATTAAACTTAAAATCTGATTAATGAAGTGTAAACTTTAAAAACAGGATTAGGTGTAATTTCCTCTTTACATAGTATGAACTTGCTTGGCCAGGAATATGATCAGGGTCACTGGTTTATCCGATTTTAATAATGCTGACTAATAGTTAATGTGTGATAAGGGGTAAATATGAATTTGTCTTTCTAAAAATACGACTTGGATCAAGTTCTCGCTAAACTTATACACCTCACTAATCCGCGGTCCATATATATTGCCATTCTCTACTGATTAACATGTTTAGTGTTTTTTCTCTTTTTTTCTATTTTGAGATTTATTTTAGTGTTTTAAATGGCCCGTCTAGGTTCCATCTATATACTTTTTAGGTGAACTTTTTTTTTTTTAACGAGTGATATTTATTGTTTTGAAATTCGGTCCAAAATGCTCAATCGTTAAAAGCTCAAAAGAAAATAAGTCCGATAAAAATTCACCCGAGTCTGAATTCAGTCCAAGAAAATAGCTTTCTATGCACACACAAAACATTATTGATTTGAGATATTTATGATTTGAAAATTATGTTTTTGTTGAATTTTTTCAAAACTTATATGTTTGAAGTACCTATAAATTTTATAGGTATGCGATAATTAAAATAATATTTTAAAAAAAAATATTTTATTACTCTTAAGAGTGGAATCTTGACTTCCCGCCTCGCCACGACTTGTGATTTGTAGAATATTAACATAGATATCGTAATTATTTAATTTATTGTACATAATACAGATCAAGTAAGATCTTTCTATGGAGAAATGACGTCCAGTGAATTCTGAGGATTATCTCTGTTCTTGAACTAAAAGATTCGAGCCAGAAACTTGGTACATGGTTTTTAAGGTATGAGGTCCCTTCGACTGCTTCACATCATTTAATTCGGGGTAACACGAACTTAAATCCTGACTGCAAAACCTGTAATGTTACGTAGTTTCGAAAATATTACATCATCAAATTTCTCAAACAGACAGACACCTGAAGAATTCATCTCGACCATGACGAAACACGAGAGTTCTCCACGTTGAACTCACACTCCCTCTTCTCATGACACGTCCCCTCGTAGGTTGCACCACAGCTGGTACTTTGCATGCCTCTTCATCACAGTTAAAAAGTAGAGAGAAAAGAAAAAGAAAAAAAGTTATATATACGTAGAGAGAGAACAGGGGAGAGGGGGAGGGAGAGGGAGATTTTGCAAAGCGTCGCCAATCTCTTGGTATGACCGGTTGGTTAATTGCTGCGCGTAAGCCATGCAGAAGCCACGCATTTCTAGATTAAGCCACCACTTGCAGCGTGGCGTAGGCGTTAACGCTCCATCTGGTCGCATCTTAAACAACACCGATCCATCATCATCACACTCTATATATGATATATCCCTTCTTTCTCAGATACTCGATCCTAAACTCCAATTTACTTCCCTCTCTGTTTATGCAGATCCTGTAAGAAAAATGAAAACCCAAGTTGAGTTGAAATTTTCTTCTTTCTTTGAAAAATGGATGTGTTTACTTGAAGAATTTCTTCGATATTATCTGAGGGTCTCAGCGGAGAATTCCCAGGAAGTGGACCATGAAGTTTTGGTTAATATGCTGACAGCCCATCACAAGGAATTCTATACTTATAAATGGGCTGCGGCACATGAAGACGTTTTGGCGTTCTTCGCGCCTGTTTGGTTAAGCCCGGTTGAGAACGTCAATCTTTGGATCACTGGATGGAAACCGTCGATAGCTTTTCGACTAATTGAGTCACTGAGAAAGATTCAGTCTCCTGGTGCAAGCCTGGCTACCATGACTGATGAACAAGTGAAAAAGATTGAGGCTTTGAGAGTGAAGATAAAAATGGATGAGGACAAAGTGGAGAGAGAGTTTGAAAGGCAACAGGTGGGCATGGCAGACAGGAAAATGGTGAAGTTGGCAGCTTTAGAAAAGCGAGTTGTGAAGAATGGTGAATCGGCGGTGACTCAGTTAAATGAGCTGGTGGAGATGGCGATGAAGGGGTTGCTGGGTGGGTTGGAGAAAGTGATGAAAATGGCTGATTGTGTGAGGCTTAAGACACTGAAGGGCGTGTTGGATATCCTAACTCCCATTCAATCTGTGGATTTCTTGGCCGCCATGTCCATGGTTCAAATTCGGATGAGGAAATGGGGGAAGAAGCATGATAAAAATTTGCAATGACATTATTTAAGGCAGCAATTTCCAGTGGACGCTACATTATGTGATAGTTAACTGCACTCGTTCTAGAGTTAGCACTAGAGGGCAATAGATTCTAGTTGAACGAAAACTGAAAAACGTAGGATTTTCCTGAGTCTGAGAATGTTCTGTGTATTTTTATTCCAATGAAAAGCAAATTTTCATTTTATTTTCAGGTATTAGTTCTTGTTTGGTTTTTATTTTTCAACTTCTGATCGGTTTCACTTACTCATTAATCCGTCTTAGAACGTAGCAAAATATATGTTAAACATGAAGGTCACATTCATTTTCATATCTGAAAATAAAGGATTAGTCTATTTGTATATTGGGGTTGACACAAAGGATGACATAATGTGAATGGGGGTGAGCCCACGATATTGTAGCATGGGACCCACCTCACTCACATTATGCTATCCTTTATGTCATCCCTAATGTACCCCTAGCATTTCCCGAAAATAAGAGCTTATTCGGGAAGAATTTTTGAGGGAAGAATTGATTTTTGAATAATAATACGATGGAAAATGTGTGATTGAAAAAGAAAAAAAAAATTATTGATGTGATGAAAAATATTATTTTATTGAAGAATATATGGTTGAAAATGAGAATTGATTTACTGTAGAATACTAGAATTTGAAAATCTCTCCCAAACACCTCCTAAAATACAAAATATCAAACAAGATGACCGAGCCACACTATACTCCCTCTGATATCGACATAATGGCAACTAAGGATGAGAATCAACCTATGGATCTGTCGGACCCAATAAATAAATCTTTGTTTGATCCCATTATTTTCATCAAAATATATTTTTCTCTCTTCCTTTCAACCAAACATTCTTCTATAAAATAATACACTACCAAAAAATGTGGCTTCAGCGACGGCGAAATCCATCACTAAAGCCATGATTTCTATTGGTAAAAGATTTTACCGACAAAATTTTCTGTCACTATTTGTGGCGCTGATAATTTAGCAACGAGTATAAAAATCCGTCGCTAATTACCCACAAATTAGCAACGAATTTCTAGCCGATAATTAGCAACGAATATCATTTATCGACAATATTAGCAACAACTTCATCCATCACTAATTACCCACCAAATATGGTTCGTCACTAATCAACGAAGAAATTCCGTTCCTATTTCCATCGCTAATTTGAATTTAAATTTTTTTTAAAAATAATTATTGATTATTATAATATTATTTATTTTCTTGGAACAAAGTTTATTACTGCACATAAAAAAATAAAAGCTTAAGTTCAAATTTTAATGTATAAACTAACAAACAATGTTACAAGAAATGAAGAAATTGTAAATATACCTACAATTCCTTAATTTTGAAGTTCCAAACTACATTAAGAAATACATAATTGTGTGAAGTCCTTATGAGGGGACTTGAATCTGGGACATGATTACAAATTGAAACAAATCCTCCAACTACAGAAATATATAATTAATGTAAGTAATGAATAGAAATACAATTTAGTATTCCAGTTGGAGAATAACGATAAAAGCAATGTAGGCATAACAAATATAACTTATTTAACTTATCATTTGTGTAACGGTCATTTGGTTTATTGAGCTTGGTGCATTTCCTGTCATCAAAAAAAAATAACTAAGAAAGCAAACACATAATCAAATATTATCGAATAATGTTATTCATCCCCAATGAAGATGAAAACACAGTCTAGGTGGCTGTAAATGATAGGTGAAATGAAAGGTGAAATTAAATGACTTATTTAATTTTACCTATCGTTTAATGTCACATTAGCGCCACCTAGACTGTGTTTTCATCCCCAATGGGGATGAATAGCATTACTCAATATTATCAGATAGGAGTTTGGCATGTGAAGTTCTTCACCAGAGAGCAACTCAAGTCTTCAACTCCCAGTGTGTAGCGCTATGACAGAAAGAATGCACAAGTTCAAATTATATTTATGGAAAATGACAGCAGAAGAAAAACTGTAACAAGTGGATGAGCTTTCAGAATAGCCACCTAATAAGGAGCAGCCTGCTGTAATATATATCAATATATGCATTTACCCAATTACTCCCTAGGAAGTAAATCATGAAATAACAATCAAGAGTTAAATTTGAAATCTCATTTTACATAGCAATGCTATAGGTGCCTGGTTATACTCTTGATCTATGACAAAGTGATTACTTTTATATATAAATCCTGTACACGACATGAAGGAAGCTAGTAACTTAGAATTGCCATCTCTGGAACTTATATTAAATGCCTTCTGACCTAGATGGAACTTCGGTATATTTAACCAAATAACTCATATCAAACGTTATCATAGAACTATGATAGAAAGAATGCACAAGTTCAGATTATATTTATGGAAGATGACAGCCAAAAGATGGAACTTCAGTAAATTGAACCAAAAGACAATGTGTGTGGTGTCAACAAATATATGCTAGCACCAAGTAGGAAAAATTATCCATATAACAAATGTTATCATCCAAACCCATTGTTGCCTGTGTTTAGGTTGGTTCAATTCATGCCCCCATTGTTGAGTCAAAACTTATCAAGATTCTCCAGATTTTTGACAATTTTAAACTACGAGAATCAGTCTTTAAGGATTTCCATTTCCTGTCATGAAAAATTATGATCATAAGAAAACTACTCATTTGTTAACAAGAAAACATCAGGGTGTACAGTTCATAACAAACACAAAGTAAGTATAGAAAAGTAACATCGTTTCTAACATAACAATATGCATGGTTACGGTTTTAACTTTCTATAGGCAAACTGTATGGTTACGATTTTCTTAATTTCAAGTAAAAAAACTTACTTTTATGAAAGTAACCCAACCTTACAGCCAAAACTTACTTAATTCCAACATTTTTCAACAAACGAAATTATTTATTTTGAAAATTATTTACTTTTTAGTACATATAAATAAACTTTCAGCTTAACTAAACATTCTATTTGTCAGAAGATTACTGCAAATACATGTTAATCATTACCTAAAATGTGAATATAGCAATTAATATTGAATCTTGCTACAAGTACAGAATAATTATACAGATTTTTTACAGAATTTTCAAATGGAGGGAATAGATTCAAAGATGGGAAGAAGGAAAATACACACAGGATGCAGGAATTTCAAAATTCTGTGAGTTATTCCTGTACTTGAGGAATAACACATTAATATTACCAAATATGAGGCTATTAAATACTTTCCAACAACCAATCATCTGCTGCTTAGTCATCCCCTTCACCGCTACACAGGATCCGAATCCGGGGCAGACGAAATCGGGTTTGGAAATAGGGAAAAAGAATAGACGTCTTGGGAGGAGAGAAGTAAAGAGAAGCCAAAATGAAACTTGTGTAAGAATGAGCTGGAAGGGTTGGAAATTTTAGACAGATTTGAGAGGGAAACATAAAAATTTCAGGAGGGATTTGGAAAAAGTTGAAATATGGAATAGTTTGAAAGGGTTTGAGGGAGAGGGATTTAGGGTTTTAATGGGTCATTTAATGGGCTATTGATTTTTTATTGGACCAATAAATGGGCCTAATATTTTTTTTATTAAAATTATCAACAAAAAATTTTCACTACATAACGTTTAATAAATATTTATTTTTTTTACAAAATTTTTTCGACGGAATTTTTGCCGTTGATAATTATTTAATAAATGTTAAATTTTACTTTCAAAGTTTACCAACAAGTATTTACTCCGTTGGTAATTATTTTATTATTTTATATAATTTTCAACAGAATCAACCGTTAGAAAATCCCGTCGCTAAATTATTTAATTATTTATTTTTTATTTTTAAATTTTCACCAACGGATTAGTAACAAAATTATACTAACGAAAAATTTTTGTTGCCAATTCCGTCAGAAATTTAATATTTATTTTATAAAAGTAATATAATATTAATTTGTTGCCATCGATAATAACAACCGAATTTGTCCATCGCTAAAATTCCGTCTATGTTGCCTCTTTTTCTAGTAGTGATATTGCACTCAAATTCAATATTTTTCTTTATTTTTTAACTGCATACTTTTCATCAATCTACTATTCGAAAATACATTCTTTGTCAAATAATGGGACTCGAACGACTTCTAAGCACGGTTGATAGTCTCGAATGACCTGCCGGGTAATACAAAATATCAAACAAAATGAAGGACCCACACTCTAATTCGTCTCGTTGAGACTTGAACATGTGATCTATTATGTTCTTCCAAAATTTCGTTAAAGTCGCATTTACTAAAATGCAATTCCTCTAGTCGGGGCATTTTTTGGTTAGATGGTGACACTGGCTTGCTTTTGGGCGTTAGATGATATTCTAGATGGTTCTATCGTTGAACCTAGCTGCATCTCTTCATTTGGCATACTCTTCATTTTGGTTTTCCTCTTTTGAGAGAGAAAATAACCCTCTAATTAGTGTTCTTCATTTTTGTTGCTTTACACTACTCAAAAACCTCATTCGAGGTTATAAATCTTGTAATCCTAGTGTTAAACTTGAAATCTGAGCAATCTGTGTAAAGGAGTCTAAGTGATCTTTCTCTTTAGTATAACTTCATATTATAGTTTGGAGATTTGAGTGTTCTCCGTGAAATATTCTTTCGATCTTCAGAGTAATTGAAAGATAAGTCTTCGAGAGACTATATTTGTTGTAATATCATTACCTTGTAATATTTGTTGCGATTTTTGGGCCATCTTGTGCAACCAAGCATATCTCCAATTTATTGGATACTTAATAGGGGATTAGGCGTTAGAAGCAGTCGTCGAACTTCTGGGGCTTTGGCCAAAAAATTCCTTATGTTCGATCTTTTAATTTCTCCAAGTTTTAATTTTTATTGATTTGAGATTATTTTGTATCTTGAGTTTAATATCGTGTTTATTTGGGCATTTTTAGTGGTATCAAAGTAAGAACTGAGAACAATATTCCTAGATCTTGAAGAAAGTGATTGATCTGTTGTAGATCGTAAAATTTTTGGAACTGTTGTTAAGCAAAACTAAAAAAATATCGAG